CGTGAGCGAGTTGAGACTGTGGAGCTTAAACTTTCTGCTGTCGGTACACGTGTGCAACTCCAATGCCGGGTTCAGCGGTGTCGGAGCATATCGCCTCAACACAATGTTTCGGCAGAACATGCACGGGACCTTTCCGGAAGCACCTTTGAACTCAAACATATGCTTCAGTGCACTCTCGTCGGCGACAACGATGGCAAGCTCAGCGCACAAAACCATGCCTGGGAGGGCGAGCCCGAAACGGAAATCTCGGTCATCTTCGCTAAAGCTCAGCATGCAGTGCTTTGCGAGCTGACTCAACCCGTCAGGCAGATCTGCAACCGTCTTGGATCGCACTGTAGTCAACAGCAGCCAAGCATCCTCGCGGGTCAAGCTGGTGCCGAATTCTCGGAAGCTCCAATAAAAAGTTTGGAGCTTCCGAGCATTCGTAACCTTAAGTTGATTGCCCGGCGACACTTCGTCGGAATACAGCACTATCCCCCATCGGGAATTGATGGTGGCTTGCTTCCTGTGCAACATCTCCAGCATGAAGCTTCGAAACAGCTCGCAACAGTTCAGCCGATGCCAGAGGCAGGCGGCCGGATCCAAATAGTCGATTGCAATCTCTCCTCCAGTTCTCTTTCCGAGTTTCCACTGTTTGATCATTGGACCGAATGGTGTCTCAGCTGCCATTCTCTTGTCCCGGGCCCGCTTCACGGAGCTTTGACTGATGCCAGCTGGCAAGGAATCTGCTTCCTTCACTGCACGTAAAACCTCTGCCAACCCATGTTGTGACACGAAGCTCTTCCTCCCGCCTTTGGTTAGGTCCAGAGGCGGCATGGGTGCGAGCCAAGCCCTGCACCGGCGGATCGCGAGCCGAGCCCTGCAATCCGAAGAAATGTCTCTATATACGATCGGATGATTTCGTCTCCAAACATAAGTGTCCCAGCTCATGATGCATGTTCTGGCTAGGATAGATGTGAAAGGATCTTATGTAAAAGGTCATATGATTATACAAAGCTCAGTTTTCAGGCAGCCATGCAAAGAAGATCCGACTTGAAGGGCACAAGCCTCGCAGCATGCAAAGGTAGCACAGTTGCTCTATATCAATGCAAGAACAAAACACCATGACCTGCATATGTCTATATACACCATGGTGCACCATGCATGATAGCAACACCCACATATCTATATACATATATGGTATGTACCACCACCGAAACCGTCCAGCATACACCATGCACTGCACCACAGCAGCATCACTTCGAACTACATATATCCACCACCAACACGACGAAACCCTATATAACTAAACCCTTATATATAGCCTATATACATAAAGCCTGTATACACACCCATACAATATAAACCCTGAAACCTATATTAGGACCTATATGGTTTCCATCATATCCTTTCATAACAACACCATCTGCATCTGTCAAACGATAAGACAGACCGAAACATATCACAACAAAGCCACACCTAGCACCCAAACCCTAAACCCTGAACCCTGAACCCTATATATATATATCCCCTAAACCCTAAAACCGGAAGGCTGAAACCCTAAACCCCTAGCCTGAACCCATTTTGTAACCTATATGTAGAGTAAATAAATCTTACAGAAACCTTAAACCCATTTTCAAACCACATATATTCACTACATCACAAGACCATGCACAGGTCCCCGATGATGCGAAACGACCTGCACCACAAGTGTAATGACTTCAGCTATGGGCCATCCTGACCCACCAGCAACCGACGACGACGAAGTCCTATATATACCCCAGATAACCCCTTAATAAACCCTATAAGGCCCTAAAACCCTATAAACCCCTAAACCCTGAACCCTGCATAGTCTCATCTATATATCCTTATATACCACACCCCTTAAATCCTCAAATCTTTGTACATAAAGACAAAACAAACCGAAGCATTTCAGCAACAAAACCACATATATAGCGCCAACGGGGACACGTCCTTTGCCTCGTCGGAGGCATTGGCCGACCAGGCCTGACATGTCATAGAGAGACTCTCTGTACCCGCATGCAACCTATATATTTACATTCCTATATAGAAACCCTATGTGTATATATATATATATATATATATATATATAGCCATATAACTTTCAATGAAAAACCCATGCAGACAGAATTTGCTAAGATGTCCAGACATGCAAGCAGGCAGGAAAACAGTGGTCTTTCTCGGATCGCGGCATCATCATGTGGCTCTCCGCCGATGACACAAAAACCGGGCAGCACCAACCGTGCACCCTGCATGATACAGAACTTCGCATCGCTGCACTCAGTTCTAGCGTTCTGGCCCATCCTCGCATGTCATACTCATGCTAGCACATGATTCATGGAACTTGCCGGGAAGTCATGGGCTACAACTTGCAATGCATGTAGACGGTCCTCATCGAACCCTGCCTTGGCGGCCGTGGAACCGGATGGGAAGCCTTTGCCCTCGGGGCTCCACCACTTCCCCCAGATCGAGCCATCTGTGGCCTTCCGCTTGTACACCACCACCCAGCCACTCTTCTTCCGGATGGTCTTCACGATCGGAGTTTTGGCCTGGGACTTCGCCTTCGGAACAGCTGCGACCTTGGACTTCGCCTTCGGCTGAGATACGACCTTGGACTTCGCTGCAGCAGGCTTCTTCAAGATGCCTGCCACGGCCTTGGGCTTCGCCGTCTTTGCTGCCGGCTTCTTCGCCAACCACTGCAACTGCTGCTCGGCCTCGTTCTGGTTCTGCTCCTCGTCCTTGTGATCGCCCTGCTGGTCCTCCTTGTCCTCCGCCCCTGGGCCAGGCTCCGTGGGGGCCGGCAGGGTGAGCAACTGCATGCCTTTCGATGAAGAAGGCTTCTCGGGAGTCTCAGGGGGGCTATTGGTTGGCAAGGTCTGGTCTGCAGGAGCAGGAAGTGCCAAAGCCTTTTTCTGATTCTTGGCCTTGGGCTTGAAGAGGTGGAGGTTGCTGAGGTCCTGGTCCCCCTGCTGCTGGTTCTGCATGGCATTCACCACATGCATGATCCCTGCCATGAATTGGGGGAATTGATCTGCCTGTCCGAGCCCGGCTCCCAGGGGCATCAATCCGCCCGAGCTCGAGGAGGAACTCGCAGCTTGAAGGGCTTTGGAGCTTTTCCTCAAAGCCTGCACCTGGCTGACCTTGAGGATCTGCTCGATGCTCAGCGGTTCCGCTGGGTCCGTGGCATAGCATTGTTTGAAATGGTCGGGAAGCTTCTCCGGGCCGTCCGGGTAGATGGCAAGCTCGAACTTGGTCTTGCCAGGGATCATCTCCCGCTTCCTTTTCAGGATCTTCTTGAAGGCGGTCAGAGCGGCGTAGAAGGCGCTGGCCGTCTGTGCTTCCAACCCGGCTGCCACTCCACTCGCCAATATGCGGCCCTTGCAGCTTTCGCTGGGCAGCACCAATCCAATCTTCATGCAACGGCTCGCAAGCTGATGCAGCTTCTGGCTCTCTGACTGCGACGGATCCGCGAGGATCCGTCTGTCATCCTGCGATAAAAAGGCACCGAATCGCGGACACTCTTGTGTTTTCGTCTCTTCGGTTGGAGACGAAGACCCTGTGGCTGCCAGCTTGTCCGACAGGACCTGGCACAGCTCGGTCTTTTGTTCCGGGTTCCAGGGCCCTGCTGCGATGCTGCGGCTGAGGTCCGTGGCCTCGGACGGGGTCACCTTCGCCAGCTTTTGCAATCCATTCTTCAACGTAGAGACGTGGGTCTGCAACATATCTGCATATGTTGGCTCTGGGATGGTCCCTTTCTGCTGCAGCAGGAACTGGTCCAACTGCTCCATCGTTCCCTTCAATGCTTCTGCCATTGCAGCGGGCAAGAAACAGCAGGCCGAACTAGATAGAATCCACTCGCGAGCACAGCCCTGCGAGGATGACGGGAGCGAGCTGTGCCCTGCTTCCCATGCAAAGAGAGAGAGAGAGAGAGAGAGAGAGAGAGAGAGAGAGAGAGAGAGAGAGAGAGAGAGAGAGAGAGAGAGAGAGAGAGAATATTGCATATATGATATATACCCGGTGCCTGGTGCCATGCTGGCGGTTCAGTGGCGGTGCAGCGGTGTCGGTGGTGGCAGCGGCGGTGGCGATACAGGCGGTGGTCGGCGGCGGTGGTCTCGGTCGTGGGGCGTTTCAGCGGTGCCTTCTTCTTTCTGTCAGTCTTTCCATGTCTTTGTCTCTCACTCTTTTCTATATACTGCCCTGGCTGCTGCTGCTGCTGCCATTCCTGGTTGTCCTGGGTTTCGTTTCTTCTGCTGCTCTTTCTGCTGCTGCTGCTGCTCCTGCTGTTCTGGTTGCTGCTGGTTTTGTTGTTGTGGCTGCTGCTGCTGCACACATCAAGAAACAACATGGACATGACTGCATGTCACATGACTGCAACTGACATGTCTGCACATCCACAGCACATCAAAGCCTGCAACTGACATGTCTGCACACAGCACAACATGGACATGACTGCGACATGACCGCAAGTGAGAGAGTTCACAGAGACAAAGAGAGAGCGAGAGAGTGCAGAGGTAATGGTGGTGGTGCATGGCGGGGGTGCAGGGTGGTGGTGTTCGTGGTGGTGGTGGTGGTGGTGGTGGTGGCGGCGGCGGCGGTGGTGGTGCATCGTGGTGGTGTTCGTGGTGCTGGTGGTGGTGGTGGTGGTGGTGGTGGTGGTGGTGGTGGCGGTGGTGGTGCATCGTGGTGGTGTTCGTGGTGCTGGTGGTGGTGGTGGTGGTGGTGGTGGTGGTGGTGGTAAGGTATAGGATGAAGTCCGGCATAGTATAGTACATACATTGCATTTTCCAGTGTAGTGTTGTGTAAAATAGATTTTTAAAGTATCTTGTATGTATATGTATATATATATATATATACATATACATATATGATATATATATATATATATAGAGCATAATGTAGACTTTAGTGCACCACTACTATTTTTATACATACTATACTCGCATGCAGAATCCCACATGTTTGCAAAGGAGCTTTTTCAAAAATCGCCGCTCAAAGATCGCTTAGAATACCGGGACCAGCTTGATCAAGGCAAGCTTCCTAGGATCAGTCTTCTGCAGCAGTCGCTTCTTCGAGGCGACGAGGATTTTCTGGTACTTTGCCTTCGGTCGACTGCTTGACCAAAGCAGCGACCTCAGGTGCAATTGGCCAGTGCTGCCTACGAGCCTGACAGTTTGCGAACATCTCATCATGTTCGCCTCAAGCATGGCCGCCCGGATGGCCAACGACACTGTCCCTACCCGCAGGTCGCGGTTAAGAGGCCAAGATCTTTCGAACACCAAAAAGCCGCTCAGCATCCGGGCCTGCACAAACAGCTCCCCCAAGACTAACTTGCCGAACAAGTTCAGGATCACTGTTGAGATGGGTGCAACCCTCACGACAAAGTACTCGTGCAAGCCGCCCTTGAAGCCCTCCCAAATGGTGGCTCCCAAGTCCGCACGGTCTCGTAGCTTGTAACATGCGAACGACCCATGGGCGAAGTAGTCCTGGCCCAAGGAGATCCTGTAGCAGGCCGCCTGGGATAGGATGTGAAACTTATCGTTGTTAGGAACCACGGAGTCGGGTCCTGCCAGATTCGCAATCTCCAAAGTGGGAGCAAGCATGGCAAATGGCACCGATCTTTCCTGGCAGTTCTAGCTTGAGGAAGCAGCTGCACCGGCAACAAGAAAAGGTCCACGACCCTCTGCCTCGCGAGCAAGGCCCTGCGAGAGCACGGAAGCGAGACATGCCCCTGCTTCCGCCAAAAGCACCATGCGACATGAACAACAAGACCTGCAGGTCTGCACCAGCATGCCACCACCATGCACCACCACCACCACCACCACCACCACCACCACCGCCACCGCCATTGCCTGCACCATGCATGCATCACCGCCACCATATGCAGCAACACCACCATCACCACCATGCACCACCAGCACCACCGCCAGCACCACCGCCGCCACCACCACCAGCACCACCACCACCTTCTATGTTACGAACATAATATATGCCCACCATATACATATATATATATATATATATGTATATACACATACCACAGCACGAGCACTATACAGCACAACCACTATATAGCACATGGGACCATACATAGCACTCAGAAAATGACATGCACGAGAGAGAGAGAGAGAGAGAGAGAGCGAGAGAGAGAGAAAGAGAAAGAGAAAGAGAGAGAGCGAGCGATGGAGAGAGACAGAGAGAGAGCGAGAGAGAGAGAAAGAGAAAGAGAAAGAGAGAGAGAGAGAGAGGGAGGGAGAGAGAGAGAGCGAGAGAGAGAGAAAGAGAAAGAGGAAGAGAAAGAGAAAGAGAGAGAGAGAGAGAGCGAGGGAGAGAGAGAGAGCGAGAGAGAGAGAGAGGAGAGAGCGGAGAGAGCGAGAGAGAGAGAGAGAGGGAGGGAGGGTGGGAGGGAGGGAGGGAGGGAGGGGAGGGAGGGCGAGGGGGAGCGAGCGAGAACAAACACAACACGAAGGACAAGTTGCTTAGGGGTTCTAGGGTTTAGGGTTTAGACGGGTCATGCAATGGGGGCTTATAATGTCTAGGGAGTCTAGGGTTTAGGGTTTAGGTTGGACACCGCGAAACCCCTGCAGCACACCGGTGTTTTTTGCACCTCTTCAAAAACCGTGCGGATCCACTTTCCTGGATCTATGCACACCTTGGCCGCTTCGCAGACCCTGAAGCTGTTGTCTCCTTCTTCTTGTTCTTCGCGGTCTTCGTGTCATCGTCCTTCTTG